GGATATCAATGACGGCTGTCAAAGTGACACCACACAATGGTCGCTGGGGGAAATCACAAAAGAGACGAGAGAGACGCCGACTTCGGCCCATTTGACTGGCATCACCACTGCGAGGGATGGACTGCTCAATTCTTCTCCTCTCGTCTCTAGTCACTTCCTCTATTGGCAACATGTTTCATCTATATTCAGGTACACACCCCTGTGCTATAATCCCAAGTGTGTGTGTGTGTGTGTGTGTGTGTGTGTGTGAGTATATACAATATATATATGCTGAAGCCACTTCGGGAGATCAACATGTAAATCATGAGTGCTGCGGTGGATAGTATGGCAGCGGGGCTCTTTTGGCGATGCCTCGCGTGCTCTCCCAACCCAAAGCAGAGCAAACACTGGCGCGCGCGCTTTCCTTCCGGTGTGGGTGGGCCATGCGTTCTAACCATCCAGATTCCAATGGTTTCCCTTTGTGCGACTGAGCTGCAGTGGCGCAGGTGCCAGACGGGCTGCCGCAGTGAGAGCCCTGCTCGTCTCAGACAAGAGCCTCGCTGCCCTTTCAGTCTCGGGAGACTCGCCATCCTTAAAGAGCAAAGATGATACGAAATTTTTGTAATATTGCTACATTTTATATCGGGCAGGAGAGGGGCTTGTTCCAATCAAATTTTAGCTCCCCGGGTCATCGGTGACCTTTTGCCGCAGTTTTGTCGCAGTTGGAAATAACGTGCGACAGTCTGAACTTGCTAAAGGCAACAAGTGGGAGGTTGGGACATTACCCCAGCCCCCATCCCACCCTGCCCCCAGAGGGCTTTTGTCAACCATTCATTGAGAGCTCTCAGACATCGGCAAGCTCAAATTCACTTTGGTGAAAACATGAGCCAAAAGTAACCACCCGATGAGAATGTTGAAGGGTGCAAGAAAATACATCTCGCACCTCTGCGTCATGAGAACAACCAAGATTTTTATTTCTCAATGAATTCATGAATCAGTTCAGGAGTGAAATTACTGAACCCCTAACGCCGACAATGCTGCATGTGTTCTCTTTAAAGGAGATGTGTTCTGCGTGACTTGCCACGCGTCTTTGGATAAGAGTTGGCTGATCTTCTTTTACACCAATGATATAGTCTAACAAGTATATCGACTTCATTTCCACACTCTGTGTTTGGGGTGGCAGCACTGACTTTCTGTGGTGCTAGTGGAGACGGCACCAGATTCGTATTCCCACGAACTGTCATATTTTGCGCTAGTTGTCGTGTTGGACAAGGCGACTGCTCAGGAGATTCCCACCTGTATCCTTCCAGTTGTGTCATCGACATGGGGCTGACGTCAGCTGCGTCAGGGCCCGAGGCAATTGTCTGCCTTGACTCCCCCGTTACGGCGACTCTGCGGCTCTGTACAGACTGCGAAGGAATCGCGCTTTTGCGCAAAGCCGTCACTGGCTGCCACTTGCAAATTGGACCACACGGGAGCTTAGCTGCCCAGTCATCGGCACAGAAGCCATCCATGATTATGAAAATCGGCCTCACCATGTCACTGTTAAGAACAGCTCACTTCTGGACGCGTTTTCTGAAATAAGAGCTTGTTTAATTTCACTCTTGGTGGTTGGGCACGAGACACTCCAGAGACTAACAATTAAAAAGTACTTTTTTCAAATAATGAGGAAAGCAGAACACCAAGATGAGTGGGTTTGACTTGAAGGAAGTTTATTTCAAACATGTAGTCCCAAAAACGAGACTCTTTGGATTGCGATACTCTTTCGTCTTTTTGCTCTTGTGTTTTTCCCTTCGCCTTATTCTCCGCGCTGCAACTGGCTCGATTTCCATTTCTGTGTCCGTCACCTTGCCCCATATTGAGCCTGGTCACTACTCCGGCTTGCGCGATACCTCCCTAACCACGCCCCTCTTTTGTGCCTCGAGGTGCATCGGCCATTGTGTCGCGGTAATAAGGTTTATGGAATTACAGATCTCGAAATTGGATTTTCTCACGCCGCCAAAGCCGTGTGACGACAGGTTTAAAACCTTGCGCATCAGGGGCACAAGTGACCTGCAACTGAACTGCCTTTTCTCTACGACTGAATCCTCAAAGTAGGCGTGGGTGGATATTTGGTGAAAGAATCCGTGTCAATGAAGTCAAATTAGAGTCAGACATTGTTTCTTCTATTCACACGTAAACATCGGCTCCTAAACAAAAGTCAAACCTTGGCTTCTTTCCTCGCCCAACTTTGACTGCGTGTATTTGATGTCATTCTTACCTAGTGCATAGTTTGATCTCCTTGGCCCTCCACTCATGCCGAAGTAGTTCAAATCGCTTTCATCCCTCCAATCTGACCGCTGGTGAAGAGATTCATTCTGAGTGCCGTACAGGAAATCTTCCACGCTTATCTTTAATGAACGGTGAGAGTACTTTGCTCGACCCAGTACCATCAACTACATCCTCACAAATACCGGCGGCATTGTTCAAAAGGTACGCAGAGTAAGTAGAGTGGAAGAGGAGGAGGGGAGTGAGGCGGAAACGGGCAAGGAGGTGAGACAGGCAGCCTAGCAAGAGTAACAACGTTCAAGTGTTGGCAGGCACTTGGCATTCGTTGGGCCTGCTCTGTAGTGGCGGCTTAGTGAACTCTTAATTGGGAAAGAGAGAGCATTTGGGATGGCCGATCAATTTTGGCAGTCCAGGGGTTCCAGTCCCCTGAAATCAATCGGCCTCCTCCCAGATGAGGAGAAGGCAGACAATCAAAGAAAAGACCACGGGGGCGGGGGGGCTGCTGCGCAGTTATCCTCCCAGCCAAAGTTCATCCGGATCAACCTGAACAGATGTGCAGATCCATTCCCTTCCAGCCCACCCCATTCACGGGGGCGGGGCGCAGCAGAATCGGGAGCTTTTCTCTGCTCTTGAATCCATTTGTTCTCATTGCATGACACCACCCGCGCAGTCATATGCGGAACTCTACCTACCTATACCTAAAGCCTTGGCCTTCTGTCTTTCCCTCACAAAGATGCTCCTCGGGCAATATTGGTCTAAAATCTCAATCCTTCACTTTTCATGGCACAGCATAGCATGAAGAGGATTGTTCTGACAAAGTTCCCAACTTTCTGTGAAACATCAATAAAAACAGAATGCAATGATTTGCAAATCATATTCAACCGATCTTTCATTGTCGGTACAGCTCGACATCCCGAAGTGTGACTTGAAACCCGACGAGCAAAGCAAAAGCCATTTCTCAACAACACAATGAGACGCCGCCGGCTTCTCTGGGCCTCAGCTCATCTAAGATACACTGTTGCAAAGTGGACACGTGTTCCGTGGTCTGACGAGTCCACATTTCAAATGGTTTGGGGAAATGGTGGGGGGCGTCAATATGATTTGCAAATCATTGTATTCTGTTTTTTGTTTCACGCAAGGTCCCAACTTCTTTGGCATTGGATTTGGACTAAAAACGATGAACATGCAGGGGCTCTACATTGAGAGAAATATTACACAAACGTGTAAATTTACCCTTCTGCTAAAAATAGTCACTTTCTCCTCATTTTCTTCTTCCGGGTAATAGCCGCCATTTCTCTTCCCTCCGACTTTTTGCATGTATGGTGCTCTTGTTCACATCAAGGGGCAAGGTCAGGTGTTGCATTTTCTCTCAGTTGCCGTGCTTGTCACACGACGGTGTTGCCCGCAGCCCCTTTCAAGACATTTCTCTCCTGCTCCCCCTCCCTTCTTATTTATATTCAATCATTCACTCCTTTATTGTCACGGGACAAATGAAACATATATCTCCGTTGCAGACTGCCGCATTAGCCGGCGCGCTCAAGTTAATGTGGATGTCATGTTGGGCCAAATAATCCTGTCAAAATAAATGATGTCTGCGGTGTCCTCGTTCTTGTGTGCCCGATTCAGAAATAAGACCCATGGGACAAAGCAAGCCACGACGGAGGCCGATGGTCTTAGTGGGTTTTACTGCTCCAGATGGACAGCCGGACTGATTGTCAGTCACGAGTGTTCAGTCACCGCTCTCTTTGATGCCCACGAGTGCTTTGGCAGAACCATCTCGGAAAGAGAGCAGCTGGGATCAGAGATGTGCTTTGGCAGAAACATTCATATATATATATATATATATATGGTTTCGTTTTTCGAACAATTTCGGTTTTCAAACAGCCTTCTGGAACGGATTATGTATGAAAACCGAGGTTTGACTGTATATATATATATATATATATATAAAAAAGGAAGCGTTATGGAGCAATTCAAGTAGGATGGGCTCGACTTACCAAACAGGTCTGCACTCGGAGCTTGCAAGTTCACAACCTGAGTCAAATGGAGATGCGGAACCAGTGGCAGGCAGAAGCCATTTCCCACCCAAATGAAACACTTTGTTTTTTTTGGTTTTTTTCTTCCCCCCAATTTTGCTGCTGTAGACTGCAAATTTCCCCAGTGTGGGACAAATAAAGGTTATCTTATCTTATCTTATCTTCTTCTGAGAGCTGGTCAAAGCAATGAAGCGATTGCCCGGTGGCAAATGAGCACACCAGCTGCAATGCGTAGGGACAGATGCGCCGTACAATCAATTAATTCATCAAAGTATTCATCAATCACGTGTGGGGAAATAACTCTTGATTCTCCCTTGAGTCTTTTGTTCCCTCTCCAAATTGTGGGATGGTTTAGTTTGGGCAAGGTCCTTTTCGGTTCCATCCTGACTCTGTGGGCGTGTGGTTGGACGAGTTGAGTGTGGAAGAACAAGAGAGAAGTAGGCTATTGGCAATGGCGCTTCCTACGGATATATGCATTGATACCCTTGTGTCAATGTCTCTGCGGAGTACATAGCAACCCATACCCAGCCCACCTCGACTCAGAACTGTTTGGGGGCCAAGGTGGGGAGGTGATTCAGAAGGAAAGTCACACATTTCAAACACAAACACTAAAGCCACAGAGGAGGCGGTGTTGTCTGACTGACTTATTAGCCCCGAAGGAGATTTTGGATTGGTGACAACTACTCATCCAGCCTGGACTTTGTGTTTGTTTCACAGTGACTGACTTCTAAAGCAGAGGACGTCTGGCTCCACTTGCTCTCCAGACAGGTAAGGTTAATTGTCTACCTAATACAAGAGAGTATGCTAAGAAGTTGCGACAGTTCTATGCATTTATATTGGAACTTCAATTTTGGGATGGTTTCACCGTGTGGCTGTCGTTGGTGTGAAATAGTCGTATTAGTAGTCATCGAATCACTTGGAGAGCTCTTTTACTCACCCCCCCCCCAAAAAAACAAAAACAAAACATTTGTACTTCTTCTGTCAATGGAGTGAAAGTGAGTCCTATGCATGCTGAAAAATATTGAGGACATGACAGCACACTTGAACATGCCACGAAAGCTCGACATTGCCTGTCTTCAATTCAGGTTGGTAACAATGAAGATTTAACAGACTGAGGTTGCCGTATTCACCATGTCCGCATCCTATGTCGGTCTCATTGTTTGTTTTGAGTGTTTACAGCAACAGATTTTTCACTTTTTTGACTTTCGTTTGTTTCGCATGACGCTGCGTACAAGGCGGCGTGTGCGTCACCGAAGCGCGACTGCAGTCAGGTGATCTGTACAAAGTGCGGCCCGTCACGGGTTTATTTGTGTCAGCTCGAAGTGACCGTTCCACATGGTCGACCTGCACAATCCAATCAGGTTAGATTTACACTGTCAGACACGTGTGATGTTTTCTTAGTTTATTATTATGGATCCTGGATGCCATGAGAACGTCTTACTTCATCCATGAGAAGGTTGCACGTGTACTGAATGAATTGTTTTTGGAATGCCAAAGGATGTTCCACCTTCAAGGAGGAATACATTCAGGCTCAGATGATCGTTCCCACTTGGGTCCATTTGTCATACCTTGGCAGAGACCAACAATGCGGCAGACTTCTGTTCACCGCCGCAAATTGTCGTTTGTCTGTGAATTTGCCACATTCAGAGACATCCCAAGCATCTTGGAGTCCTCGATTCGTCACCTCAATTCATCCGTCTGACAGTGATTAGCACAAAGAAGAGAGCGTGCTTATTGTGGGCTCCTTTGGATGAATCTGGGATGATTTAGCCCTGTAGTGGTCGTGGCACATTTCTCCTCGCTGGTTGTCAAGGCTGTATGCTAATTAGGTAGCGATGACGATAGAGTGAAATGAAAAGATCGAGAGAGAGAGAGCGAGAGAGAGAAAGAGGAGCATTAATGAGCAAGCCAAGAAGGGTCAGGATTGTTAAACCAATAGCTGGAAAAAATAGCCTTCACTTCGCAAGGCTTTCAGTTGTAAATCTGCTTTCATCTCTACACAAGCGAGGATAGCAGACCTGTTCCGGGCTTGAAATGTGTATTTGAGCTCACTTTTTTTTTTTTTCTTTTTCAATGCCATATCAAATAATGACAAATTACATCGCACCGACTGGAGCCATTCAGCATGAATCAAAGCTCAGGAGCCATGTACAGTCGCAAGAATTCAAATGAGCATGATGATCCGCTGTCCATTCAGCAACCAATATAAAATACGGGCAATAGCTGCCGTTTCCCCCCCCTCTGCATCTGAAAATAAGCCTGTCTTCTTGACTTGTCACTTGATGGGGGAGAACTTGGATTCTTCTTTTTGCCTCAGCGACACGATCAAGAGTCGACAGGTTGAATGAGATATGCCTTTGGTGAGCTATTCTGTTTGAGGTCTTCAATATCCCAGCACGAGGACACGGCCCCTTTTCTCCTCTTCTTTGTGGCGTCGACCTGCAGTGGTGCGGTAAGAAGGCCACGAGTATGAAAAACCTTTCAAAGGCACAGTCGATCTGGCAGATGTAGACCTCATCAACTCACTTTTCTATCACATGTATTCGCCTTCCGTCTAGCTCGGCTTGTTTGTGAGCTAATTTGTTTTTGCCTCATTCCTCGCCGCCGGTTCCATGCGCGTGATCTGATGCACGCTCACTTCCTGTGATGGACAAAAGGTTATTTTCCCTTTTCCACTGAGACCCGCTTGTCGTTTGAGGCCCATTCTCGCCTCCTCCTCACGGTGTGTGTGCGCTGCACGTTTTTGAGACTGACCCTCATTTTCTACATCAGCAAGACCAGAAGTGCCAGCTTGCTTCCGCGCTCCACTGATTACGAGTCAAATATTAAAGTGCTGTGTTGTGAGCTCAGCCTAATTGATTCCTTCCGCATGGTGCACACATAATGGCCTGACAGCAGGCGATACCAGGCTTTGTCAACATTGGGCATGCTGCCCAGGACAGCAACCCCGGTGAAGACCCCCCCCCCCGCGCCACCCCGTGGCCCCACATGCAGAGCGGCCGCTTGGCAGATCCCCGGGGGCCAACGCGGACGGGGGCGGCTCACCGGCGGTGTCACCGGTCGCCTCGTAACTGTCAAGGAAGCGGTTGGCAAGAGAGAGAGGAGGTATTTGCGCATCCTGCAAAAATGGCCGTTTTCTGACATTCCCACAATTCCTCCCTCTCCCTTCCTTTGTTCGCACACCATTAAGATAATTGCGCTAATAGCTTTTAATGACGCACGTTTAACAAGGAAGTAAACAAACAACGCCGACCATCACTGTCCACTGTTGTTGCAAAACGCCGGCAGTGTTTCCCCATGCCTCCCTTGTCTGCCGAACCTGTGCGTTTATTGGCCACTTTATGTGCATCTTGAACGGACCGCGATCCTTATTTACTTTGAATGCCTCTGGTGGAGGAGAGTGCAAGCAAAGGCCCCCGACGGGGGGTTCATTGAGGACACACATTCGTCCACGGTCCTCTTCTCATGAATCCGATTGACCTCCTCGCTCACCGTGACCTACAGTAAACGGCGAGCGCTGCCTATTCATCTCCAGGGGATTGCAAAGCTCGCAAAATCTCCTGTCCAATGCTTAATTTTCCAGAGAAAATGATTGAGCGCCGTGACCTAAGATGTAGGGGCTTGATGTTGCAGACAGGTGCGCTCAGCGCACCATTACGGAAACAGAGCCACGCTGACATTAATTACGACACAGACAGGAGGGGTGACAAACTGGCCCCAGCCGCTGCTGTTTCCTATTTCACGGGGAAAGATTGGGAACAAATAAAATGTGGTTGGGAGAAAGAGTAGCTGCTGGCTTGTGGGGGAGGGGGCATTTGGGAGCGTGCGTCTGTATGGCATATTTGTACAAATCTCAGCATGTCTCAGCCTTTTTCCACCCATGAAAATCCCCAGACCGTCATACTTGAACCGTTTCATTTCAGTGTAACCAATCTGCAGCCCAGCTGCAAAACTCAGGGCGGCTTTGGCTCGAAAGGCTGCAGAAAAAGTAATCACAATGTCCTCTCCCCTGAGAACCGGACAGGGCTTTCATTTCTGCCTACTTCCCTGCAATAGATCCCGGGAAGTCGGGGGCTAGAGTCTGACTGGGGGGTCTTGATTGCCACTGCAGGGGGGGGGGGGGGGACAGTTGGCTTCCTCTCTGACAGCAGCCTAATCGAGGGCTAATGGGAGTCCCAAAGACCTCTGCTGTTGTCCCGTTGTGAGCCTGTGCAGGGAGGCGGTGGGAACAGAGGGACACAAAGGTGAGAACACAATCACAGGCTGATATCAGCCTTCCCTCTTTCTGGCTTTCCTTTCTGTTAGATTGATCTGTGCTGACTTGCGTTGCTCTCTGCGAGACAAGTAAAATGATGATGAGCTGCCCCCCCCCTCCCCCCATTTCAACTTTTTAAGAGACATGATCTTATTTTGGAGGACTGTTTTAACTTTGTTTTATTTTTCTTCCCTGGTTCAGTTGGTATTTCGAAACAAATTTTCCCACAAGGAACAATATGAACAGAAATTATCCATTCGAGAATAAACATCTTGTCCCAATAAGGCCTTTATTTGCCGTACAGCCACTACAGCATTTTAAAATTGCTGTCATGCATGTCAAAAGACATCAATGATACGGTGAGTCGTAACAATGAACCATGTGTTCACCTGTATGCTTGAGCTGTATGCCAGTCAAGATGCACAAATACAATGCACGGCTCACTTGGTGCAAGTGTACCCGATGTTCTGGACAGATAATCGAAATCTGTTCATTCATTTGAATTTAGTTTAGCGCTGGTAATTTGGGCTTTGGGTCTAGTTGTGGGTTGCAGTTTTGTTTAAATTAAATGGATATTTATTCAAACGTCTTTTAGTTCTTGGTCCTCCAGTACGCATCAGGGAGTAGGCAATCCTTTGGAAACCGCCAACAAGAAGCATCAGCAATAAAGGGCGAAGCCATGATTACCGCTTGATCAATCTGAGGGCTCATTAAAAGACCTCTGCGACCCGAAAGCACATCAATACTGGAACGCCACAGTCCGTCTGGGATGTTTGGCAAGCGGCTGGCGGACTCGCTGTCGTTTCCACGTGGGCAGCATGCCAGGGATCCCCTTTGTGGGCCACTTAGGCCGCCCCGCGGTCCCTGAGCACAGGTCAAGACAGACAGATGGGCCATCTGGGCAGCTCTCCCATGCTGGACCAGAGTGAGATGGAGACCGACTTGTCGAGACGTCAGCTCTGCTCTCTCCCGGCATCAAGCCTGCTTTGGAATTGGACTGTAGCAACACACAGAGGCTGACGTTTCAACTCAGGCCTTTTTTTGTCATTTCAAGGCGCATCACATACTATAAGTTATTCCTTCAAATACATACCCACTGAGCTTTGTAAATAATAAAAAAGTACTCCGTGGGTTTCGAGACAAACCCCAAGATTCCTGCTGGGAAAGCCTCATTGACTGAATCATTCTCCGCGGTGATTTTTGAGCAAAGCACACAGAGATTGAAATATAGATAAGCAGCCTGGCAGCCTTCCCCCTTTGCTCCAATCTGAACCCCCTGTGTAGTTCCAACAGAGGAGGGAGAGATCATGTTGTGCGTGTCCAAAAGCCCATTAATCCCTTGACAAAAGGGTCCCACCGAAAGCTAGCTAGCGAGGCAGAGGGTGAAAACAGCGAACGGGTGGAGAGCAAGAGTAAAGGAGTGCCCCCAAATTCCGAAAGCTCCGCTTAACACGAGATGAGATGACGCTCATTGCCCGCTCAGACCGCCGTCACCCCATCAAATGGTCAAAGA